ACAGAGTATATATATATATATATATAAGATCACAATACACAGTAGTTAAGGTGTGAATCATATATAGATTTTCATGTGTTAAAGCATATAACAAAATTAAGTGAATATACTAAGTCGTGGTATATTGGTTTTCAGCAAGTTGCTAGAATTCGTTTGTTGTTTGTACTAAATTGTTTGGCTCATTTAGGGATTTTTGTCGTATAATGATGAATAATTCAAAAGAAAAGTTGTAGTGGATCAATAACTTAAAACTGCATTGCTTAAAATAATGTAAAACTATGTCCAACAAACTTAATTGAATTCTTGTCAGAGTAATAATTCAAATCTTTAAAATACTATAAAACGTGCACTGATTTAAAGATAAATTATTTTTGAGAACTTCAAATTGAGAAATGAATGTTCCTGCACTCGTAAAATACAGTAATATCAGTGAGAATCCAAATGACTGTTTCTGTACTCATAAAATACAGTAATATCAGTGAGAATCTAAATGAGTGTTTCTGCACTCATAAAATACAGTAATATCAGTTAGAATCCAAATGAGTGTTTCTGCACTCATAAAATACAGTAATATCAGTGAGAATCCAAATGAGTGTTTCTGTACTCATAAAATACAGTAATATCAGTTAGAACTGTACTAATGTTAATTTTATTGAATAATTCACTGAAGCAATTCTATTGTTACTAAATGTCTCACTGAAGTGCAGTTAACTAAGTTTATTGACCCATCAACAACATTATTTTTAAAAGCACATGAGAAATATATGCTCGTTTTCTAAACACATCACAATTTAGCTAGGAAAATTGATTAGTTGATTAGATTAGAAAGTTTAATAAAGCTTGCACGTTTAACCTACTTTTCCTAGTATATTTGTAGATTTAGAAAGTATAACTAGATAGATAAGTATTGAACGTTACACTAGAATGAACTTGGAAATCCTGTTTTTCAGATGTAAATCAATTGCTTGTGAAGTATAGAATCCGGATTTGCCATTAAATTATTATTATATTATACTTATGTTTTGCGTAGAATTGGAATTAAGTCGGGGATCTAGTTTTATTCAATAAAAAGTGAATGCTCTTTTCACTGGTAAAAAACATTCACTCAAAAAATATCATAAATCATATAATAATATGGAAACCAATGTCCGTGTTAAAGTATGTGACATTCTGAGCTTGAATATTTTGATTTTTTAATAACTAAAACAGATGCATTGCAATAGCTGAGTATTCTAATACGTAAGGAATGTCTAACTCACTGCTATATTTAAGCACATTTCCTTCTGGTTATAAGTCAAGAAGTAATACTTTAGAATACCACAAATATAACTGTTCGCTGTCGCTGATTAAAGCTGGTTTGTTCAGACGGAAGAATAAAAAGCTCCGTAAATTTATCAGACTTGGTAGCTGAACCCTGATATGGTATCTATTTTGTTAGTTTATCAAATAAGTATCACATATATATTTAAGCATGCTTTAAAAGTCTGTAGCTAAGATATTCTCATAGATTCCTGAGAAGATAGCTATTATCTTTTGTCAAAGATACATAACCTGAAAGTCCGAAAGCACTTAAGTTATCGATTATGAATGTTTTACAAAATATTTAAATGCATTTAAACAATAACACTGAGTGGTGAAGTTTCTGAATGCGTTAATATTGAAAATAGCATTCAATAGTAAGGTTTATAAATGTGATGTCAAAACAACATTGGGTGTTAGTTTCAAAATGCGTTATTAAGAGAAGCATTTGGTTGTAAATTTTATAAATGCGTCATTCAGAACAACATAAGATGGTATGATTTCTTAAAGCGTCATTAAGAGCAGAATTATGTGACAAAGGCTCTGAACGTATTATCAATGGAAACATTTTGTGGTCAGGTTTCTGATTATTATTAATAGTAGTATTGGGAGGAAAGGAGAAGTGGTAAATGATTCAGTTTTGGAAAATGTTATTAAAAGCAGCATAAGCTTATTAAGTTTCTTAATATATTTTTAAGAGCAGCAATGAAATGTAAACTTTGTAATGCGTTATAGAAAACAGAAATGAGTGATGAAGTTTGTGAACGAGTCATTAAGACTAGCATTGAGTAGTAAAGATATTGAACATGTTATTAAGAGCAGATTCAGGTGTTAAGGTAGGTAAGTGCGTTTTTACAACAGTAATAAGTGTTAAAGGTTCTGAACAACACCTTTATTTTATTAACAACACTATGGATGGTATTTCTGAATAGTAAAATAGCTTTTAGATACGTCATGAACAATAGCAGAGGTAAAAATATGTGAATTTATTTTAACAGCAGCACTCGGTAATAATTTTTCTAAATGTGAATTTAAGAGCTGAATTGAGAAGTTATTAAGAGCAACACTGAGTGATCAAAGTTATTGCGTCCGTCCTTATGAACAGAATTGGCTGGTAAAGTTCCTTAAAGCAATGGATATTGATGATATTGAATGCATTATTAAGAACAGCATTGGGTATTAAAGTTTATGTATGTGCTACTATGATCAGCGCTGAATGGTAAAGTTTCTGACTATTAGAAGAAGCATTGGACAGTAAAGTTTCTGGAATCAGGTTTTAGTGTAAGCGTTGACAACAGGATTTTGCTATATACAAAGTTATTAAAGGGTTAGCCCTATGTTAGAGTTCTGGATGTCACAAGTGAAGATTTGATCCGTGCAATATCACAAAACTTTTCGCGCCTTTTAAGCTGTGAGTAAGTTATAAGACTGATGCTCAGTCCCTTAGCGTGGATGGTGCGTAATAGGGTGTTGCTGACAGGTTGCCCTAATGCTCGTTCTTAGGGACGGCAGCAGAAGGCTTTAATTGTTTGGCATAAAAAAATATATACACCTGTGGCACAGCGGAAAATTTGAAAACGTATAACGCTAGAAATATATCAGAAAACAACATTTTTGTAACTAATGATGATAACATTCTCGAATACGGTTAAACCACGTTAAGGAGGGAGGATGAGATCCAATGAGTACCTGATTTCCCAAGTCTTACGACCAAAATCACGGTTCGGTGGTTTCAGTAGCCTCGTTTGGCACAAAACAAATAACCAACAAATCCTACTTATAGCCAAATAGAATGTTTATTTATATCGCACTAGTAATAAATATCAAGTTGAAAAGTAAAGGGACATTTTTCAAATTGTTTGAGGAATTCGAAACGAAACTGTCATATTGTAAACCGTAATACTGTTTTTCAAAAATAAGACTTCATAAAGAAAGAAAAACTAAATCCTTTCTCTCTTCTATGCAAGGAAATAGTTGAAATTTAATATGTTTAAACATTTGAACAAGAAAACAAAATAAATTTAATTTCAAGCTATAGGCTCGAATACTTGCAATTGGTGCATATCTCTACGGTAAAGCTATATCGTTACGTGTATACAATTTCGATTTCTGTTGGTTTTCATAGAAACGCTTTCTTTTGATTTTATCTGAGATATATTGCCAGAAAATTACAAAATGACAATTCATAATTTTATAAGCGTACACAGAGAAGATCAGTAGCGTAAAATTATTTAAAGATTTCCTTTGTGCTATATGCAAAATAACAAACTGTGAATAAATTGATAAAGTAATGTAATTTATCATGACTTACACTACGAACAACTTAAGTATTCACATTATTTAATATTCCAGAGTACTGTTATTAATTTATCTACAAGAATAAAAACTTATAACTCTGGAAAACAACGGAAAAAATATCTAAAGTCAGCGAATCTGCTTTCTTCAAAAGTATCTTAATGACAATGGTTAAAAGATCAACTACTCAAATCACCGCAGATTTAAAATGTTTAGAATCAGTTTATAGTTCATCAGTAAATATATTAATCTTCTGAGTCTGTGGAAAGAAGAGTCCAAGATTCATGACCTAAAGCCACTGTACACGTCCCTCCCTTTCGTTTATGAGTGTGATAAAAAGGGGCAGCTAGTTCTGTTATTCGGAATATAAAGTCCGTCTGTTGACGGGTGCTGCTGTCTGGATACAATTCTTCTGGTTAGTAGTTAAGTTTAATTAAGAACAGTTATACCTGAGCCCTAGGGTTGTTGACCTGGCTGTTTATCTCACATGCGAATAAGGTTCCATTCCGGTTTCAAATTCCAATCCCAGTTCTTAACTGGCAAACCTCGAGGTGTCAAAAATGCTTTTTTTTTAAAAAAAAACCTGAACATGATATGCTTTTGTTTCATGTCTATATATATATATATTTATTGTACCAAACCAATTTACAGTCCAAATTAGATTCAATGTATGTCTAAAGTTTTACTGAAGCAGCACTTTCTTTAAGCATTCTGCGGCAGATTAAACATTATTTCACAGGGCAAAATGTATTAGATGAGCTTATGACATCGTATGATGATAATTATTTAATAATACTTATATCTCAATTCTTGAAGTTCTACCATTACGGTATTTGGTAATGAGGAAACTAAGTTTACTGTTATTGAATGAGCACATCCGATACTGTTTTTCTTACTGTGGTGTTTTTAGTTCGTTCCAAAATTTTAAGTGACTAGGGAAATTTAGCGAGCCGAAAGTTCTGCCTTTCTTAAATCACTTGCTATGCTGTACATTAAGTATTTAGAAATTTACCAAGAGATGTCACAAATCGGTTTCGTCAGTTTCTCGCGGGTCATAACCAAGACATTTTGCTATATTGAGTATCAAAACAAGATTGGAGTACAGCGTGTGCTAATGGCGACTGTCGTATACAGTCTGAGGAATTAAAAAAAAATCCCAAAGCAGTAGGGCTTTCTGATGATCCTTATTGTATTCTCACTGATCATTGGACTTACAGTTATGGCCTGCAATCGTACCTACTTTCCACTCCAGGCATACAAAGGAGGTCCTGAAGGTCTACAAGAGTGGATGTTGGGCGTATTTTAGAGCCAGTTCTGTGGGAGAAATTCTTATCAACATAAGGAAAAGTAACCGCAGAAAAGGTTTGTAAAATCATTTTACTTATTGAAATAAATTGAATTATAAAACTTATATTTCTCTGTGGTTTGAACAAAAACGCCAGAATTATGGGGTTATTATAATACACTCGGGTGGGTACCAATCCACATGTTCCGTTTTTGGATTCATTTTGTGAACTACAAGGTATTAATTGAGGCTATCTGATTAAGGACATGATTAACTCATCACGGTAAAGACTGTGGCTTTTGGGGCTCACTTTAAAGAGTCAGAATAAACTCCCTTTATGGTGAATATGAGGACCTACATCGTTAGATTCCAAACGTATTTCATAACGTGAGAGGTTTTTGTCGGCCAAGTCGACGCAATGAATCATTTGATATAATTTTTAACTGAAATATACTAGTTATTTCATTGACCTATTAAAAATACTTAAGCATAGTTTTTCAATATATAATATATCGATCTTTTCAGATTTTATCCTGTTTATATAGTTCATAAATATTATTTATTTCTGAATAAATTTGGAACATTTTTTTGGCTTTACAAACAAATTTGGAATACCTTTAGAATTTCACTGAAACTCCTATTACAATATCGGTGAAACACATCCAGAAGATGATCAAGCCTTCACTAAAACCATGGATTGCAGCTGAGAAGACTATTAGAATCACTACTTCCCGTCCCCCAGTAGCACAGCGACTGTCGTATATAGTCTGAGGAATTAAAAAAAATCCCAAAGCAGTAGTGCTTTATGATGATCCTTATTGTATTCTCACTGATCATTGGACTTACAGTTATGGCCTCCAATCGTACCTACTTTTCACCTCAGGCATACAAAGGAAATCCTGAAAGGGCGTATTTTAGAGCCAGTTCTAAGTATGCGGACTTACAATGCTAGAAACCGGGTTTCGATACCCGTGGTGTGCAGAGCACAGATAGCCCATTGTGTACCTTTGTGTTTAACTACAAACAAACAAACATTACTTCCCATTACTCATGTATAGTTAGTTAGCTTGGGGCTCCATTGATATTTGCGGTAATGGCACGAATACGTCTACGCCAAGACATTCGTACCTTGTAAATGGCTTCAGCCAACTATCAAAACGCAGGTAACTGTATACTTTATGTTCATATATTAATGGTCTATAATGGAAACAGATATATAATTATTGTTTTGTATATGCCAAACTATATTGGATCTAACTCTTGTTTCAGACCCAGTATGCTGCTAAATCAAACATCAACTTCACCCAATCAAAAAACACAGCGGAGAAAAATAATATCTGCATTACCCGCAGTTAATTCTAGTCGGATTACTTTGAAAAGGACAGTAATTAACAATTCTGCTGGGATATCAAGCTTCTTAATAGATCTAAAATTTTCAAATCGTATGTCAGCAGTATTAGCCACTTCTCTAGGATATTCCAAAAAGTTTTTCAAAAACATTTCAGATAATTACATTGTCCGTATCTAAGGTTGTTGGAAAGATGAAAAGCAATCTCCAAAGAAAATACAGTGTCAGAGAAACGTGTAGAATTAATTTAAAATGAGACACGAGAAAAACCAAAGTGAAAATTGTGGTTCTCTTATGGAGGAGGAAGAGTAACGTTATCAATTTCTGGAGCTGTTGTAGAAAGTTTGGAGAATCATCTGCTGCAGTCATTAATAATAATAAATGTAATGAAGCTTGGATGTTTACTACAGAATTATATAAGGTACATTTCATTTGAAGTGTTCTTAATTAAATTATTTTGTAGATTAAGGATTGTATGTTCATATAATCGTAATAGCAATGTATTTAGTCATATATAATATCTAGATGTAGAGGGTGTATAAAGTTATATATATATATAATGTGAAGTTACGGGAATATTACAATTTAGTAAGAAAATCAATAAGAAGTAGTGGAGAGATTAGAGTTGATAAAGTTTTACCTCAAAATGTACAAAGTAAATAAGTGGAATGTTATTGGTTTAAGATATATCTCCAACAAAAAACGTTTTACAGGTTAATATTGCTGTTATTTTTTCTCAATCCCTCCATGAACAGAAAAATATTTCACTGCTGTTTTCCCTTTTACTGAATACTAAGTGTAAGTGTAATTGCTATAAATGCAATTCTAGTAGCCTACTTTGTGATTTTTTTCATTTACATGTTTCAGGCGGAGTTTCATACAAGAGAAAAAAGTAAGGAACAAATATGCTAAGACTGTCTCCAGCCAGAATTAAACATTCAGCATCAAGACGAGTGGTGTATTAGCTAATTATGATTTTTCACGCATGTAGGAGCCAAATGGAATAGTGAACTGCAGTTGTTGTGAAAGTGCGTTCCAACAGAAGGACTTTTGTTTGGAATCAAAAGTTAGACCGTTGAGCTGGTGCCCCAAAGAGAAGCTAGTACTGTTCAGACTATTGTAAAAAACAACAACAAGGGTTGTAAAACGAATAGCAAAAACTGAGCAAATACTTGTAAAATAAATTAAATAAAATGGGGACAATTAAACATTTAATTAAGAACTTTTATGAGTACCTTGTGTGTTTATAGAATATCAAAAATATGTGGATTCTCAATGATACTACAGCATTTTATGAGTACAGAAACACTCATTTGGATTCTCACTGATATTACTGTATTTTATGAGTGCAGAAACACCCATTTGGAGTTTAATTTTTACTGAATAGTCACTGAAGTAATGTTAATTTTACTGAATACCTCACCAAACTAATGTTAGTTTTACAGAATACTTAACTGAAGTAATGTTATTATTAAAATGTGAACCTATTTGTGAGTGTGACATTATCGTTAAGTCGCTTTATAAACACATGAATATCACACACATTTGTAAATGCTAATGTGTTTTTATTCACCATTTTATTAGCAGAATACACAATGATTGAAACAAATAAAAGTTTCTATTTCATACCACTGACGGCCACTAACAAGTCCAAATCCTATATGACTTCTATGCGTGTAATGATTGTTTGTTACAGTGTAAATGTATCAGATTACGTTTACAGTTGTTTTAATGATATGTATGCCAAGATATCAAATATTACTTCACTGAATACCTCACTGAAGTAATGATTGAGACAAAAAAAAATCTAGCATTCGTTGTGCAATAAGAAAACAAAGAGAAGCGAGGTTTTCGGGTAGCTGACTAGTTCATGAATTATTAAAGATGAACATTTCCATTACAAGTCTATCTACAATATTTTATTAAAATAAGAGCATATTTTTGCATGCAAAAGTAATATACTTGTCATATTGTACGAGAAAGCACCCAGATGATCCGTCGTACTAGCAACTTCGTAAACACGAACATAGTGTTCACGATACGGTATCCTGTTAATTTGGTCACAGAACCACTTGTCATAAAAACAGAAAAATGGCTTGCAAACATCCTCGAATTTTCCTTGTTTATATTTTATGTTATTATGAATAAAGGAACTTCAGCATTTTCAACTGAAAACCCTTTTGTGAATATAAGAAATAAGTAGTTTGTGTTAGAATAGAGTACTGTTTTGGAGTGAAGAATTTATTAATTTATTTTATGTTATGAAACCTGGAACTAATTTATCGTGTGAAAGAGAAAAATATTACAAAATGTCTTGACAATGTAAGAAAATTCAGATATATATTTTACTTTTATCTCTGCTTTCCCTGTAATTTTAGGTTCGAAGATAATGTCTTAGATCACTTGGGTCTGTGAGATGGTCTAATGGGAGAAAGGGAGGGCTCAACGCATTTAGAATACTTTAAAACTTCCCTGATATCTCAAAAACAGACAATATTTTTAGAGAAAATGTAAATATGTCTACCAACGTTTTTCATGCTTGAGATATGTTTTTTAAAGCACAAATTGTAATGAAAGTAAGATACATCAGAGTGGATATTTTTAAATCTTATATCAAAATATTAATGGGTTCATCAACTAGGACATCTAATTAAGGTCTTGGGGTCTGAAGCTAAACTATTTGGAACCACTCTTTATATCTTCACACGACGTACGGAGTATAGATGGCAGAAACTTATATATTTGACGTTAAATCGCGCTTTGATGTTATTTAATGCTTAGGCATTAAGAAAGAAATCAAATCTTTATTTATGTAAGTTCTATTCAAAACTATTATTTGTGTTATTGTTTTTTGTTTGTTTCTGAAATAATTTTACATTTTTCAACACATGAAGATTTTATTTCTTGTTTCTGACACCTGGTAATTTAAAACTGATTACAGTGTACTTTCAAGAAGCATTCTATTTTGGTATACGGTACCAATTACCAGTTGATCACTAATTTATTACAATGTGGTGTAATAGTTCCTCAGTTTAGTCTTCTTTCTATCTTGCGAATGCCTCGTAAGCAAATAACTTTCTTCTTTTGATTGGTATAAAAACTTCTTATAAAAGGTGATTGATGGAAAGAGCATCAGTAAGTCCATATGTGTAATTTAAGCAAGAAAGCATATTGGCCAATGCCTAAACCAAACGTACGTCGCATCGCATATATTTTAAACATATCCATCTATCCACCCTTTCTGAGTGTTGATGATTTTTATTGCCAATATACTTGCTAGTATGTGGTCTTCGATAATGATTTATCAAGGCATTTGCTGTAGGTCTCATGACTTTCATTGAAACGTGTATTTTATAACATGTCGTTGATAATTTATTATATTTTCTAAAAATAATTTCATCCTTTTTGAAAATCGTTACATAAAGTGCACGCTGCACTTAACTTGACGCGAAACCAAAACGAAAGCTACAGATTTTGATTTTTGCTGTTGGTACTCTGTGTTGACATTCCCTTTTCATCAGAGTTTGGAAGCATTTTAAAAATCTAAGAAGAAACTGAAAGCCTGAGACAAAATCCGAGGATTGTAGACAGTAAGAAACTAAAAGTACTCCTATTGATTCCTGAGCTTTTAGTGTGACTCTTCAGAACTAAAGAAATATGAACTAAGATGAAGGCGAGGCTAGAACTAAAGAAATATGAACTAAGATGAAGGCGAGGCTATGTTGTATAAGAATAGTTTTACCGCTAAGCAAAGTGCAATATCGCCTTCAGTAATGAAGCCTTTGTTCTTTGTCAACCACATGCTCTAATTTAAACATATTTTACTCTATTAAAACCACATGCTCTAATTTAAACATATTTTACTCTATTAAAACCACATGCTCTAATTTAAACATATTTTACTCTATTAAAACCACATGCTCTAATTTAAACATATTTTACTCTATTAATGGTAATGGTAATCTTTGTCAATACCATGTTTCTTTTAATGAATTTCATGTTTTAACTCTTGTCTCATTACATTATTCATTAAGAAAGATATATTTTGGTATTGAGTAGCTTATCGACATTTACTATGATTAACCATATACCATAAATCGCTTCTGATTATTCGTGATTAGAATATCTTCAGTTGATTTTTAATTAACAATGATTAACACATTTCTTTGATGAATTGTGTGTCTTTAGTTTATTATAAATCGTTAATGAATTATATATATTGTGATTAAAGTTGTGTCTTAAACGTTTCTGATTATTTATAGTTTCCAGGTTAACTTTATGTCCTGCTTGTGATAACCAATGTATTTTGTATTGAAATGTTTTAAGATGAAAGGCAAGTTTGCACAGTTGTCATAATAAGATAGTTGAATACTTCTCACCAATATTTAATGCGATATACATTCCCGTGTACAAACTTCAACTGCGTATGTAATTATTTACGTACTACTTGTAGTTTCAATTTTTTTTAAACTTGAATTATTAACTCCAAAATTGAATTTCGATACTCGTATGACGTAAACTTTTTTTTTTTAGTGACGAGTGATGATTACAATCAGAACATGTAAAAACGTTAATAGCCTTACTTTTTACACTTATAATGATAGACTTTCTTGTTGTAAAATATCTCTTAATGTCTAGTATTACAGCTTTGTTAAGAACAAAAATAATCGAAGATAATCTACACTTTGAGAATGTAATGATGATAACCTAGTCAGTGTCTCAATGAGACGATAGTAAGGTCGATACCGGTTTAAGAAAGTATATCTAAATCGAATGCAGTATTAAGTATCTTGTGAATTGTGGTCCTACTTTATCCTTCTTTTGTTCTTCTGTAATTCAGTACAACACACATATATGTAACCTCCGCTATATTTAATTTCCTCTTCATTTAAGTAAATATTTAAGCAAACCATTCAAGTTAATGTTTTTCAGCTGATATTTTCTAAAAGCAAAAACTTCATTACGTTATAAATTTAAGGCTCAACAATATCTTTCGCTCTATCCCGCTTTTACATAAATTAAACCCAGCAGAAGAGTAGTGGTATGAGAAATTATTTTGAACGAATTTATGTTATTATACGTAGACAACTTTGCTTGTTTGAAATTAAGCACAAAGCTATACAATGGGCTATCTATTCTTTGCCCACCAACGGTATCGAAATCGGTTGCTAGCATTGTAAGTCCGCAGACATTCTGCTGTGCCACCAGGGGGCTACCAAGAAGAATTAATTGCAAAGTGGAGGATAAAGACTAATATACACAACTAAAGAAAAACTTTTCAATAAAGGAAGTAAATGCGGGGATGGCTAATATCAATCTTTCAAAAACAATGGAAACAGGATAGTAGGGATGGCAATTGCATCATTCCTACATAATAGCACAGACACACAGTGTAGTAGAATGTTAACAGAAAAAAAATGGATAAATTAAACTCATATGAGATTGAATAGTTATATATATATATATATATGTATTGCTGCATGTTAATTCTTGTCATTGCTATTATGTAGGGATGATGCAAATGTCATCCCTATTGCCCTGTTTCCATTGTTTATGAAGAATTGATATTAGCCATCTCTACATTTATTTCCTTTTTTGAAAAGTTTTTTCTTTACTTGTTTTTTTGATGCAGTGTTTCAATAGACATAGGAAGGTTGTATTTATAACCAAATTCTAAATACATCGAGGTTCCAACTGTAATGTTTATTGTTTATGTAGTACAGGCTGGTAAATCCTGTTTCACCATGTACTTAAGTTTTTTACATGAACACCAAATTTCTGTAAAAAAGCTAATTTCAAGTGATAATGATAACATCGTTTACACTACGATTATTATTTTTATTAAATTATCACCAGTTATTAATAATACTTATAAAAGCGGATACTCCGTTTGAAACTATGTTACCTCAGTGAAATTGGTTTACACCATTGTTTAGGTTTTTGAGTTATCATGTAATAAAAAAGAAGCAGAGGAAAGAAGAACAAGAAATTCAAACATTTTGCTATGATATTTACAGACATTACCAAAACTTATGACTCAGTCATTACATAGATATTATTATAAAAGAAACACTGTTTAGTATTGTACAGTTCTGAGGACCTTTTGAGGAGATATTTAAAATATCATTTCGATGTACAATCCGAGTAATCCCTACATATACAGTGCTACCGCTTGCCCGATATATATATTTGATTTTTGTTTTAGTACACAATATGCTATTTGCGCTATGTCAGCGCAAGAATCGAACCACAAATTTTAATTATAAGTATTGAAACTTATTACCGCTGAGCGACCAGGAGACTCTACATATTTAAATA